GCCCCTCCCTACTCCTCCCCCGGCCCCTTGCCCCCAGCCCCTTGCCTCTCCCCCCCCCTTCCGGCCCCACTTTCTCCATATCCCATCGTCCCTCCTTCCCTTCCTTCCTCCCTCGCTCCCTTCCTCCTTGAGTACTGAGCAGCAATGGATGTAGATTATATACATTCACGAAACGTCATCGAATGCCAGGAGGGCGAAGCTATGGAGCCAGTGTGACCTGCCAAGCTCGCCAGTCAACACAAGTAGGAGAGCAAGTGCTACTGTCTGCTTTCCTCCCATCCCTCCCCTCCCCCTCCTCCTCCCCATCCTTCCCTCCATTTCGTCCAACCCGCCTGCTCTGTCCTCACCCCACGTAGCTCGGCGACAACCACTCCGCCAGCTGCACGTGCTCATCTGCTGACTCGCGCATCCGCGCGATGACTGGAGGAGCATATCAGATCTCCGAGTCAAGACGTCAAGCTCGACCTTGCGCCTCCACCGTCTTTGCTCCCTCGCACGACTTGGCGATGCCTCGAAGGTTCCAGGCCTGCCATGCTCGGGTTTCAGACGGTAGGAGAAGCTTCGTCTCGATTGCCTTGCTCAGCAACAGGCCGTCGAGGTGGCACAATCTTGCATCCTCTCTGTGATTCGCGTTAGAGGCGAATGGAAGGGAAGTGGAAGAAGAGGGAGATAGCGAGGCAGGGGCGGGAGGTCAGAAAAATTCAAGACGGAGGAGCAGAGGAGCGATGAAGAATAAGAGGTTCGAGGCTGATGAGCCAGAGGGAGGTGAAGGAGGGGGAAACGATCGCGAGTGCAGATGGAAGGAGAACCAGGGAGCTCAGAGGGAGAGGTCAAAGGGTGAGTCCAGAGTGGGTGAAGCTTTTCAGAAGCGTCGCACCGATCAGCAACAACTGGGGGTCGAAGGATGCTGCAATCGCTGCTCGAGTCCATGAGAGAAGGGAGAAATTTTCTGCATGGGCCTTTGAGATCATGTTTTCAATGCACACGATCTCCATCACCAAATTGGTTATCGTAATCATCAGCATATTTGACATCATCATCATCATCATCATCACCACCACCACCTCCTCCTCCTCCTCCTCCAATATATACACCATCTTCATCATGATCATCATAACACGGCACTTCCAACAACTAATCAATTACCAACATATTTCCAGAAACCACTCACAGTCACCTCGCCCATTCGACAAACTCCTCGTTGGGGAGGAGGCGCCTCATCATGTCCATCTCGCACAGCCCAGGGGAACTGAACAATATCGACATGCCGACATCAGGGTCAAGTCGACTGATTGCAAAGGCGATACAGGAAGTCTTCGGCTGACGGCTCGAAATTGGGGTTGTAGTCCTCGTCGGCTGAGAAGATCCTCATGCAGGCTGCCAGGAGAAGATAGTGTCAGAGTTGCAGAGCTTTTAGAAGTTTAAGGAATCTTCTCTACAGCAAACAAGGCAGAGGCGTTTTACTTGTTCTGATTGCTTCCTCGAACAAATCGTCTCCAACAGCCCTTGCCTGCAAACCGCCATAAGCAATCTTTGAAACTTATCAAAGAACGGACTACGTAGTCAAGGCAGAGAATCAGGGAGAAGGCCGTTTGTGAGTGAACTCCGCTGCCTGCATAGTTTGGTCAGCACGCCAGGCATGAAGTGCTTGTCACGGTGCGGAGCGTAGGAGGAGGAAGAAGGGGGGCGGGAGGGGAAGGCAGAACGTTTGAACAGAATACTCACGGACTGGGTGCTTCAACTTTGGGAGATAGTCGAGCAGGAGCGATCTGATCTTCTCGGTCAATGGCTTCAACGCCTGCAGCGATGGAGTTTCAGCGCAGACGTGTGGGAGAAGGATAAAGGCAGGAGGAGCAAGTGAGTCGTGTGAAAGAGCATGTCTCTGATCGCTGCGGAGACAGACAAGAGGAGGTAACATGAAAGAGACTTCTGCACAAGGAGCACACGCAAGAGTCTTTCACATGCTCTACAGCCTTGACGCCTCCAACCTGCCCACCTCCCCTCAGATCAAACATCACCTCTGCTGTCACCTCTCCCTCACCTCCCCGTCCCTGATTGGCACCAGAGCTGATTCTCCTGCAAGATGGTTGAGCGGCGGTTCCTCAGCAGCAGTGAAAGAAACCAGCAAGTTTCAGCAGCCAGCCCCACCCATAAGGTCGTCTGCAGCTGAATAGTGAATCCAACCAAAGGTGTCGGGACCGAGGACGAGCAGGAGAAGCCGCAGGAGCGGGAAACTGAGAGGAGCAGGGGAAAGAGGAAGGCAAGCAGAGAGAGGGGGAAGAGGAAGGGGAAGCAAGAGGGGGAAGAGGAAGGGGAAGAATGAGGGTCAAGAGGAAGGGGAAGAAAGAGAGGGAAGAGGAAGGGGAAGAAAGAGGGTCAAGAGGAAGGGGAAGAATGAGGGGGAAGAGGAAGGGACTCACTCGAAGGTTGAAGAGCCCTCACGATCAAAGTATCGTGATTCCTGCTAGGCATAAGGGCCGAAGAATCCTTCTGGGTGAAACCTGTTTGCATCCTTCGACGGTGATGCTGTTTAGGAGAGTACGTGAGACCTTTCCTGCAGGGAGAACAGCAAGGTTGAGAATTCGACAATGAGCTGCTCTGCATGCACAGCATCTCACCAACGTCCACTTCATTGCCGTGCCGTCTTAGAATCCGCAGAAGGCACCTAGAGCACTGAATCGCCATGGTTCGCTAGAGCTCCAAGAAGCCCTCTCACCAGTGGCTGTGGACTGCACTATGCCAGTCGTAGTTGCCGCAAAACACAGGATGCAGAGCTTCCGGCGACTTCAACGGCCCGTCTACCGAACAAGTCACGCTGGTGCCGAACGCAACACGCTAACCAACCAGGCTGCAGCCAGAGATGGTCTACCTGAGAAGCCATGAGCACTACAGTATTGCTTCCTGTTCAAACACCTTATGCGGATACTGTAGCCTCAGTCCTGATAGCGCCTGCCAAGCGATAAGTCATTGAGCTGGAATTGTTTTGATGTGTATTAACCTGCTCCGCCATGGGCTTTGCCCAGTCTGAGCTGGCCTGCATGGAAGTATGCATTCTTTTGACAATAAATGGTGGTAAAAAGCTCAAGACTTGGCAAGGAGCAACGAGCAGGGCAATTATGGGAAAAAACGCCCTTCTGATCCTCGACATTCCTTCTCACCACGAACTTGTTAGCTCAGAACATACAAAGAAATAGCGCTGATCAACTAAGAGGAGCGCTACATCAACCCGAATCCTCCCCCACTCTTGTTCTTCCCTCCCACCAACCCTCTCTTCCTCTGTCTACTGCTCCCTCGCACCTCCTATGCTTCCTCCCTCGCTCACCCCCCTCTACCCCATCTTGCTTGCCCCGCTTCCCCCTAATTTTTCAGGATCCGTGAAAAGCAACGTTTCATATTGTTGCTCTTGCATTAAACCTTATTGGTCCAAAACCTTGATCGATCCTCAAAATTTCAGACTTTACAGTACAATTTCCTCTGTTAATTTGAATATAAGAGATAAGCTAGGTAAACATTTGCATGAATAGGCAAATTTGCTGGTGAAGTTGAATTTAATTCGAAATTTTTTTTTGTGTACGTCTTCGTTAGTCTCGATTTGTTGATACGGGAGGTGATACGGAGGGGCAACAATGCGAAACGTTCTGTGTTTTGGAAACTTATGCAGAAGTGAAACAATGCAACGCTTCATATTGTTGCGCTCGCAAGCGCAGAACTTTGAACGACCCGGGCATCGTCAACCTCGTCGAGAAGCACAGCGACGACGTCAAGTGATATACGGAGGGGCAACAATGCGAAACGTTCTATGTTTCAGAAGTAAAACAAAATGCAACGCTTCATATTGTTGCGCTCGCAAGCACTTCCGATTATCGTCAACCTCATTCGAGAAGCACAGCGACGACGTCAAGTGATATACGGAGGGGCAACAATGCGAAACGTTCTATGTTTCAGAAGTAAAACAAATTGCAACGCTTCATATTGTTGCGCTCGCAAGCACGCTCGCAAGCACTTGGTTCTCGTCAACCTCATCGAGAAGCACAGCGACGAACGTCAAGTTTGTTGATACGGAGGGGCAACAATGCGAAACGTTCTGTGTTCAAAATGAAGAAAAAAACACAATGCTTCACATTGTTGCGCTCGAAGGTTTGTGTTCGTGGAGAACGCCGCGCTCGTCGTTGGAGAACGCCGCTCTTGTCGTGTTCGTGGTTGATACGGAGGGGCAACAATGTGAATCGTTTTATGTCTATTAATCAAATAACCCAACGTTTCGTATTGTTGTGTTTGCAATGCACCTGGCAGGACATCGACGACGTCAAGCTGCTGCTGCTCTTGGAGACGAGCCACGTCAAAACCTCGCTGCGCTCCCGTGTGTCTCGATGATAGGGGGCAACAATGCGAAGCGCTCTATGTTTTAAATAATAGAATATGCAACGATTCGCATTGTTGTGCATCGAATTAACGCACCTCGATAACGACCGGTCGGCGATACGGAGGGGCAACAATTCGAAGCGTTATATGTTTTTGAATCTTATTATGATAAATCGCATCCTTTCGTATTGTTGTCGACCCCGTTCCCGGCCTTTATAGTATATCGCAATGCTTGGCATTGTTGCCCCCTCGTGCCATGCCATGCGCAACAACTGGCTACCCTACCCTAGCATTTTCCATATTCATTCTGTAGTGCATGAGGGTGGGTTATCTCGGGCTAATGTCTAGGAGTGAGGGCGATGAACAGGTTACTGTGTGAAGGGTATGAGGGGTATGAGGTAGGGGTATTGGGCTGAATGAGGGGCACCGGAGTCGAGGATGTAAATGAAGCGAAGTTTCTTAGAATGATGACAGGACAAACAAGGACCGGGAGGCAGGAGAGGTTGAGATGGTGTGGGAGGGGAGGAGAGAGTCTGAGACGCGGGGTAGACTATCCACGAGCCAGTCCCTTCTTGATTCTGCTCCTGTGGCGTCCGCACAATGGGTGGACTGTGAGCTGTTTTTGTTGATGGGATTCGAAGAGTCGAGCAAGGCTGGGGTGTGTGTGAGAGAGGGGATGTGTGTGTGTGTAGGGGGGGGGGGGGGAGACGGAGAGAGAGAGGACGGAGGAGACGGAGAGAGAGAAAGAAAGAGACAGAAACAGAGAGAGAGAGAGAGAGAGAGAGAGAGAGAGAGAGAGAGAGAGAGAGAGAGAGAGAGAGAGAGAGAGAGAGAAGAAAATAGAAACTTCACCTTCACAAGAATGATTGAACAATTCGTACTCCAAATCAGCTGAACATTATGATACAAGAATTGGCTATGAGTGTGTTCTTTGAGGAATCATTAGCCATGTATGATTGTTGCTTAGCGACGAATGCAGCCCGATTGAAAACAACGTTACATCCATGCTCTTCTTACAATGATGCTCCTTGATCGCCTTGTTCTGATGATTGGGCGCGTTCTAGATGCTCCCCTGGGATCACACAACTTTCAAAGCAGCAGCTCTCCTCATGATCGGTATCTTCCTTCTCACGTCATTCCTGGAGGTACTCTGCTCCCCCCCCTCCCCCCCTTGTCATGCCTGATCATTCGTCACCGCAGTCTTCCCTTCCTCTCCCAGGGCGCGGGAATGCAGCAAGCAGGGCTCGTTCCGTCCGATCTCATCAGAAGGGTCTGCAGGACAGTCTCAACGCCACCCATGCAGAGGTTGGGAAGGGAGGAAACAGCACCAGAACCACATAATTGCTCCATGTACATTTAAGCGAACAAGGGCGCAGCGAGCCAGCGGTCGGAGGGAGCGTTCGCCGGCGATGCGTGCCAACATTTTCTTTCAACGTTGGATTTTGGCGATGCAATCTTGTCTCGATCTGTACCTGTAAATTGAAATGTACATGCTCCCTCTCAATGCTCCCCCCTCAGCCGTTCCTGCTCGTGGTGATGCTGTTGAAGTAGCCCATCTCGTTCCTAGCGTAGATCCTCTTCAGCCGAGCCGTGTGCCCAAGGACCTGGTTTGGCTCCTCGAGGCTGGAGGGAGGGAGGATACCGTTCATCCTCAACTCCCTGGTCACGAATGAGTCTCGGAAGGACAGCCGACTCCTCTGCTTCTCGTCAGCACCATCCCATCTGTCCTCGGGGATCCGGTCGTCCGTTCCCTCCTTCCCGTTCCCCATGTGCACTTCTCCAGTCTGCCTGCCGAAGCTCGTCCATTCTCGGACTGTCGAAAAGTTGAGCAGGACGCCGTCTTGGTGGTTCGCCTCTGCCTGCTGCGCTGGCTCTGGCAGCGCAAGGTCCGGCAGCCCTGAGCCACTCACGCCGGACTCGTGCGATTCACCTGGAGAGCCAGTGGGAGGCAGGAAGGGGTGGGGCTGACTCGGAGGCCCTACAGCACGCAGGAAAGCATGCTCATCTGCAGCGTGAAAAGTCATGAACTCAGTAAAATTTTGCCCGTTCCGTTCTCCTCCCTGCACGTTTGGGCAGAGTCAGTGAGTGCAGGCTTCATTGCAAGAACAGAAAAGCACAGTCCTTACCCCCAAATCATGCTGGCAAAGCTCATATTGTCCGAATCGCCCTGTCCTGTAGCAATGCTCAACAGCAGGGTTGACATCCCAGCAAACTTTGCTGATGGTCTGGGAGCAAAAAGTCAATCAAGGAGGGGACAAAGCATGAAGAAAGACTCACTCCGTTGTTCAGCACCTTCACGATTGTTCCAACGCCTCCTCCTGATATGTTGAGCAGCCTTTCATCGAAAGCTTTTGATCCTTCCGATGACAGAGTCACCCTCATCCCCTTGAACGCCTTCACTGAGATTCCAACGATCCTCTGCGCCATCCTGTCCGTCATCGACATGGAGTCATACCATGTATCCCCCTGCTCCACCAGCTGAACCATCCATTCCGACTTGGGCCGTTGAGGAGCGTCGCCTGGCATGGCCCCGTTCTGGGATGCCTCTTTCGCTGCTTCGCGGGGCCTCTGAGTCCCTTGCGAGTCGCTGTGGACGTCCTGCTGCAAGCCAGCGGCCGAGGCATGGGAGCTTCCACGGACCTCAGCTGGAGAAGATCTATCAGAGCCCTCGTGGTCCTCCCGTCGGGGGAAGAGAGGCTCTGTGTCAATGTGGAATGGGGTGGGGAAGGGCGTGCCGCATTGGGCGACGGAGTTGCGCTGGGGAGTGGTGCTGTCGAAGAGAGTCTCGACTGTCAGGGTGAAGGGCTTCTTCTTCCTTGCTGGCGCCGGCCTCCTCCTCGAGTTCCGCAGCCAGCTACGCAGGGAGGCGAGTAAGGAGCGGAGGGGATGTGGCATGTGACTTGGGCTTACCTGGCCAGCGGACAACACGAGCTCCTCCTCACAACGGATGGGGGGTCTGCTTGCTGATCTGCCTCAGTGCCCTCGGTCCTGGCTACGTCCGCATCCTGTGCTGCTGGTTGTTCAACATCTGGAACTACCTCTTCCGACATCGATGTCGATGTCCGCGCTAGGAGGTGGTGTACATTTTCCTGATGTTGCCTGTGGCAACAAACGTGAGCAGGAGTGGAAACAACAAATCTTGACAGCAGCAAGTTAATTGTACATTCAAATCCATCATGCCAAGTCAATTGTTCACTCAAAACCGTCATGTCAGTATATTGCGAGTCTTCAGTGTTCACGAGTCATGGGCTTGCAAGACATCAGACAAATCTTACTTCTTTCCCTTCATCTCGTTCCTCTCTTCTCTTGCCTTCCTCCTCCTCCCTCCTCCCTTCTCCCTCCTCCCTCCCTCCCTCTTGCCCCGTCTGCCCCCTGCCTACCCGCATGCATGTCAGCCGCGCCCATCAAGGATTTGAAAGCTGTGGGGAGTGGTGTACCCCACCTTTGATGTTCAACTTGATGATTTAAGGAGGGGTGGGGTATCGGGGTGGCGCGCGTGGCTGGCCTGATCGAATTCTGCTCTTCAACAAGTTGACCGTTTCATGCTCCTTCCAGTCTGTCCCTCCTGCTCTTGATCCTACACTCTCGCCATGCCACAGCGAGCATTCCTCCTTGGTCAACGACGAGGCTCACCGCCAACATTGAGAGCGCTCGGGATGATCATCTGGCAGATACGTGCAAGTCTTGTTCGAGCCATGAAGTCGTGATGAGGGCTAGGATATCCTAGCAAGCAACAATGAGGGCTAGCCTGTATTTTGTTTCACTGCGGCAGGAGGAAGCAATCAGGTAGCGAGTGTACGAGAATAGATTTTTGGAGTTGATCATCCAAACAGCCAAGTGAATTTCGATCACAAACCTAGGTTTTATACTCGAATTGTTTGGCGTTACTCCCTGTGAGCAAAGACGACAAGGTGGGACAACCTTTCATTTCAGTACCTCCCCCGATGGTGTAATTCTGTTTTGAAGATCCTTTTTCTCCTTATCTGTTTCTATGCGTAAGTGTTACACCCAAAATCAGCTTTTCTGTGATCTCCGAAGTGAAGCAGAATCCAACATTCGTCTTATGTAGTACAAAACTTGTCCCTTTATTCACAAAATACAACTGAGGAACAATGCAAAAGTTACAAGAGACAGACGAGTAGAAGCATCCATGAGTTTAGTCCACCTCCTCCATCTTGGATCCCTCACCGGAATCATTGGTCTCCTCAAGCTCGGGGACAGGCTCCTCCTCTTCATCCTCGTCGATGCTGAGACCAAGCTTGATCATGCGGTGGAGGCGACCAGCGAAGGTGTTGGGCTCCTCCAAGGTGAAGCCAGAGACCAAGAGAGCAGTGTCAAACAAGAGCCAGATGAGATCCTTGACGGTCTTGTCGCCGCGGTCAACATCCGACTTCTTGACGAGCTCCTTGATGATGGGGTGCTCGGGGTTGACCTCCATGGTCTTCTTGGAGGTCATGTAGGTAGACATGGAGTTGTCACGAAGAGCCTGGGCCTTCATGATGCGCTCCATGTTGGCAGACCACCCGTACTCGCCAGTCACCAAGCAGCAAGGAGCAGAGACAAGGCGGTCGGACACGACGACCTTCTCGACCTTGTCATCCAAGGTCTCCTTGATGAGCTTGCAGAGCCCCTCGGTCTTGGCCTTGAGCTCCTCTCTGGCCTTCTTCTCGTCCTCGGACTCCTCAAGCTTGAGTCCCTCCTTGGTGACGCAAACGAGCTTCTTGCCGTCATAGTCCTTCATCTGCTGAACCATGTACTCGTCGATAGGATCAGTCATGAAGAGAACCTCGAAGCCCTTCTTCTTGAGGCGCTCAAGGAAGGGAGCGTTCTCAACAGCCTTCTTGCTCTCTCCAGTGATGAAGTAGATGTTCTGCTGCTCCTCCTTCATGTTGCTGACATAGTCCTTCAGGCTGATCATCTCATCACCAGACTTGGTGGTAGTGAAGCGAAGGAGGTCCGCAAGCTTGGCACGATTGGTGCTGTCCTCATGGATACCGAGCTTGAGATTCTTGCCAAACTGCTCGTAGAACTTCTTGTAGTCCTCAGCGTTCTCAGCAATCTCCTGAAACATCTCGATGGCCTTTTTGACGAGGTTCTTCTTGATCACCTTCAAGATCTTGTTCTGCTGGAGCATCTCACGAGAGATGTTAAGAGGGAGATCCTCGGAGTCGACGACACCCTTGACGAAGCTCAACCACTCAGGGCAAAGCTCGTCGCAGTTGTCGGAGATGAACACACGGCGAACGTACAGCTTAATGTTGTTCTGCTTCTTCTTCTTCTCGAACATGTCGAAGGGAGCACGGCGGGGAACGAAGAGGATGGACTTGAACTCAAGCTGTCCCTCAACGTTGAAGTGCTTGACTGCCAAATGATCCTCCCAATCGTTGGTGAGGGCCTTGTAAAAGGCGGCATAATCCTCCTTGGGAATGTCCTCAGGATTGCGAGTCCAGATGGGCTTCTGCTTGTTGACAAGTTCCCATTCGTGGGAGACCTCCTTGACCTTCTTCTTCTTCTTGTCCTTCTTCTCGGCATCCTCGTCGACCTCCTCGATCTTGGGCTCGTCACCCTCGGGCTTGTCCTCCTCCTTCTTCTCCTCCTCCTCGTCGTCCTCGACCTCCTTCTCGGTGGTCTTCTCGATCCACAAGCTGATGGGATAGTTGATGAACTCGCTGTGCTTCTTCACGAGATCCTTGATGCGGCGCTCCTCGAGGAACTCGAGCTGATCCTCCTTGAGGAAGAGCTGGATCTTGGTTCCACGTCCCAGGTTCTCTCCGCTGGTGTCGGGGCGCACAGTGAAGGATCCGCCAGCAGCAGACTCCCAGATGTACTGCTCGTCGTCATTGTTCTTGGAGGTGACAACCACCTTGTCCGCAACGAGGTAGGCAGAGTAGAAACCAACACCGAACTGTCCGATCATGCTCACATCAGCACCAGCCTGAACAGCCTCCATGAAGGCCTTGGTGCCGGACTGGGCGATGGTTCCGAGGTTGTTCACCATGTCGGCCTTGGTCATGCCGATACCAGAGTCGATGATGGTGAGGGTGTTGTTGGTCTTGTCGGGGATAAGGTGGATGTACATCTCCGGCTGGCTGTCCAAGACAGCTTTGTCGGTGAGGGACTGATATCTGATCTTGTCAAGGGCATCACTAGCGTTGGAGATGAGCTCACGAAGAAAGATCTCCTTGTTGGAGTAGAAGGTGTTGATGATAAGAGAAAGGAGCTGGTTGATTTCAGCCTGGAACGCGAATGTCTCAACGTCTGCCATGTTTCCCGCTTTGACAGTGGGTCGAGCCCCCCACAAATTTATTTACCTTTCCCCTACCTCCACCCCCCTCTTGTCTCTGACCCTACCCTATTCGATTGCCTCTTGATCAAATAGATTGAAATTTTTGAAATAACGGTTCTCAAACACATTTTATTAATTATTTAATTTCAAATTTGCATAAGGTATATTCAATACAAACTTTGAGTACCCTACCCTTCAGACTTCATTCACTACCCCTACCACTTTTCTTACCATCCATCCATGGAACTTCCTCACGACGACTCGAGAACTTTCTTTTGTACTTCTACAAGTTAAAAACATTTTTACTACGGTAACTGAGAACTATTACCAATGAATTCAAACATTTAGTACTTTGATTTTATTAAAAGGTTGAAATGGTACAATTACAATATCAACCCCTAGTGTTCTATTGTAAAAACAAAATCAACATTGATAAAAAGTGCCATCAAACATGCAGGGTGGGTGTTCCTAAACTTTCCTAGGCCCGTTATGATTGGGTGGGTACAAAATGGGAAAAATACGGGTACTTGTTCTAGAGTGGGGTGGTCATCAGGTGGAGTCGCTCTGGTGGGTGAAGTTCTTCATGTGGGTGGGGTATGGTGCCGGTGGCAGTCGATTTGAGGGGTAGGGTATTTCATTACCCCTGGTATCCATATCATTTTATGCTCACAATAAGTGGTTGGGTCATGGTTATATGTATGATCACCTTGATTGGGGGGTAGGGGGTGGACAGGCGCACCATGCTGACGAGAGCAGTGAAGAATGTGGCGGGGACGCGTGGGGGGGAGAGGATGTTGGCAGTCTCTGCGTTGTTCTCGTCAGAAACTGCTCATGCTGCTCAGAGCGGGAAGGGATTGAACATGCGAAGAAGCTTCAGAAGCTCGGCATGCAGTGGATCCCCTGCCATGTTTCAGAGACCCTTCCCCAGCTCGATGAGAGGGACGGGCCAAGAGTCCGCAATCCGCTCAATCCAACATGCCTTGAGCATGCGTATCGGTGCAAGATCCATGTCTGGTGGAGGAGGCAAACCCCATGGCGGTACTCTTGTGAACAGGATGCTACAGAACGAGTCGGAAAAATCAGCGATCCTCGGCAAGGCAAACGTGCCTCCCATGGAACTCACAGAGCGCCAAGTGTGCGACGTAGAGTTGATATGCTCTGGGGCGTTTTCGCCATTGGAGGGGTTTATGGATGAGGCTACATGGTAAACTCACCTTTGCGATTGTTTGCTTTGTGGTGGGGACTGAATGAATCCTGCAGGCAGCACGTCCTAACGAACATGAGACTTCCTGGATCGAACCTGCTGTTTGGTCTGCCGGTGGTACTTGATACAGCGAGAGAGGACTTGCAAAAGGTAGATCCATCACGATCTACATGCCGAAGGAAAGATGTTCCATGATATGACCCATATTCAACAGGGGGCTGTGGTCCCTCTTACATTCCACGGAACCACTGTGGCTGTGATGGAGGTGGACTCGTCATGGGTGCCGAACAAAGTCTTCGAGTGCAAGGAGTGAGTATGATGATGAATCAATGCCAACCTTGCTCTTGACGATGTTGCCGATCAGGTCCTATGGCTTCACGACGCTTGAACACCCAGGTTGCCATGACACTGCTGCTTCAGCAGTCTGTTCGTACATGAGCCTCTTATGCAAATCACCTTAGGTGTAAGGTTGATTGCTTGGGAGAGAAGTCATCGATACATCGGAGGAAAGATTCACGGTATTTCAAGCGTGGCTGTTTCGTTTCATCCTCAGCCGAAGTTGCCATGATGCACGGTCAGGCTTGGAGTACCCCAAGCGTTATTATCCTGTTGTCACTCCTCAACAGCTAAGGGCGAAGTTGCCGGTGGACAAGGTTGGTCAAGGAGGAGAAGTATGCACATGCCGAATCATTTTGACAGGACGTCGTAGCCTTCCAGTGTCGCAACCCCATTCACAGGTGAGAGGCTGGACTGTCACTGGAGCTGCTGCAGCGGAGAGGACGAACTCTCATCTGTACCTTGCACAGAGCTCACTATGAGCTGTTCATGAGATCCTTGGATGCTCCCAACGTGGTAGGATAGACCGGCATCCCAATCGACGCTCTTGCCGCTCATTTAATTTCCGCAGCGCCCGGGCTCTGTGGTCCTCGTTCACCCTACCTGCGGCCCGACGCAGGAGGATGACATCGATGGGATTACGAGGTCCGGCTCTGCGTGCATCCTTGTTGATCGTGGAGCTAATGAAAATTTCCTTCAGGTACAAGACGTACGAGGTTCTAAAGAAGGAGATCAGCGACACCAGAGTGGTCAGTGTTGCCTCCATGGGTTGCAACTGGCGCTTACAGTCAGTCAGCACTGGGCATACCTTCCATACTCCATGCACATGGCCGGCCCCCGTGAAGCAATCCAACACATGTGAAGAGCTTGATGCTTGCGGCTTGCAGGAGAGCTGAACGGGCGCAGGATTCTGAGAAAGAACTACGGGTGCACTCACTTTATCGTGGGGAGAGGTGACTTGCGATTCTGCTCCCGGGCCCTGTGATGACTCGGTGGTTCAGACATGGCAGGATGCAAGAGCAGCTTGTCCTCTACAGATTTCTATGGGGTATATGATGCCCAGGCATACTACAGCGATCTCTGTACCTCCGAGGTGCTGACGAGCATGGCAGGACATGGCCAAGAAGCATGCTGCTGAGCTAGAGATGCAGGTATGGAAACTAGACAGTGACAGCATTCTTCAGCATTCTTGACATGACTCGATGCATTCAAGATTGTTCCTTCCCTGGACATTTTGTACACTGCTGAGAAGGTCGGTTGTTACAATGGTTTATTAGTTGATGTTGCATGACAATGCATGACCTTCAGGGCTACATCACTGTCGATGAGGCGAAGAAACTCGATCTGAAGCCGCTGAAACTTTCGGGTACTGAGTTCCGCAAAATGTGATTCCAACTTGAGAATCCAACGTCAAGCTGAGCATCCCAACAGGTTGAGATCAGGCAAGGACATCCCTGAATGGTTTGCCTTCAAATCCGTGGGTCTAACCCTGTCAATTTGCTCCAGCTGACTTGTCCCTATCTGCCAACAGGTTGTCGCGGTGCTGCGTGAGAACATGAAGTGATGTTTGCCGGAGCTGTCAGACTCAGTTAGCTCCCTTCGACTTCAATAGGTGACGCAATAAGGTTCTGAAATCTCAGAACATTTCTTAATAAGACTGCACAAAGATTTACACGTGACCTGATTCAAATGTCCTGGCTGAATGGAAAGCGGCCGGTACGGTGTGAGTTTGCTTTCATACTGCCTCCTCAGTGGGTCCGTGTGGCGGCCAAATCATTCCGAGAGTCATCTCGCCCTCCTCCTCGTATTGCGGAGGTGTATCATTCCTGGTCAGTTGAGAGGAAATCCCGTCCTCCTGCATGTTGTTGGCAGTCGATAGATCCAACGGGTGCTTCCGAGCTATTTCTTCCGAGAGCCGTCGATTCCTCATTTCTTTGGAGTCGGTGACTTCCATCGACTCGAAGACTCTCTTCTAAAGACAAACGTGAGCACAAAGACCTCCCACCTCTCCAGCTGTCACCTGGAGCTTGAGGAACTCCACGTTGGCGATGCGGTAGAGCTTGCGCGCTCTTGCTCGGATGTGACCTGCGGCGATGGAAAGGCCGATTACAATTTTCCTGCACATCATCGTTGTAGACGACAAACTTACCAAGATTCTCTTCGCTATCGTAAGACTTTGACGGAGAATCACTCATGCTCATGTCTTGGCTGGCGATCTCTGTGCAAAAGTAGAAGAGCAAGGCTGCGTTCAGCTTTGTTGTAGCCATGGCTGAGAAATCCGGTCGAAAAATCGAACAAGGGCGCCTTATCGAGTCTCACTTGGATTCAAATCAATAATCTTTCGCATTCAATCCGTTATCACGCTGCGTCTTCTCTCACATTTCACTGGCTCCTCTGTTCCTATTTGGATTCATTTATACATGGAGACCCTGGGAGTCGAATTCAGTCTTTGACCACCTTTTACAATGTGAATACACAAGGATCTTCTCGTATAACATAAGTCTCTTGTTGTTGAAAATTGAAAGCAGGGAGAGAGCTTGTCTAATATGGAAAATACAGCAAGTAGGCTGTGGTATCCTACATTGAAGAAACTGGATGAAGCGCGGATATCAAAGAGCAGCAATTCGTACCCTTGGACTATCATAAACAGATCTTACAAATTCCTAATGCATTCTTACACTGTCTACATTAATGATGACTTCGTTTCAACTATAGGAGCTTTCTAGGTCTTGTGGTGACGAATCCTGGTTCGGACAACCGATGTATATTTGAAGTATCAATGGCTACAAAATACTGCCGGGTGCTCATTACGATAAAACATGCAAGTCCCTGATTTAAATAATGCATGCACATTTCTCTCGCCAAATAGTTCTTCTTCTTGGGCATTAATGCTCTCGATCGACTCTGCGCTCAATGATCCTGCGTCATGAAAGATCCTACGACGACATTTGCACATCTCCTCTACAAGACGATCTCACCACTGAATTGATGACGTTCTACTCCATCTGTAGTCCCTAAGGTGTCCACACATGCACACTCTGCTCCTCCTTCTCCATCCCCTCCTCCTGCTACCTCTCGAATCCTCGTGATCCTCCGCACGTCTAGTCGCGCATGTGGTCGCAAATATTTACTACTACGCCGTTCTATCCCACCCCACCCTAACCATATGGTTCCGTTCATCTCTATTTCCGGGGTAGGGGTCATCAACATCGGATGGTAGATGAACAAGAGGGGTACTCAAGACTGAAACGAGGAGGTAGGGGTCATGTTTGACTGGCTGTTTCGAATCGCGTAATTTATGTGAATCGTTGTGATCTTAGCAAAAGGAGATCTTGATCTCGGGAAACGAGATTTGAAGCCCGCAGAGGCAAGCTTGGGGTACTCAGAGAGCAGGGGTGTACAACTGCTTGACCGGTATATCTCCCAGGAATTGATTGGGTGCAATGACTGAATATTGTATCCTAAGCGGGTAGGGGTAGTTATCAGTGGGGTGGGGTGAAAGTCGGCGATGTCCTTTCCTGCTCCAGGGACACAAGTTTTTACAGAACATGAGTAAAGTTATAAAGCAATGTGTATCAGATAGAATATAGTCAATATATTTCCTCAATCATTTTATAGAATCAATAGCATAATCTGTATGCAAAATTATTAATTAAACAAATGACAGTAGCAAAAACTTCCATACCAGGACTACTTTTAACTTCTTGTACATGTCGCACACGCTTCCGAGGCGGGTTCAAAATGATCTGAGGCGAGCCTGTACATAAATTCAAGGCGCGAACTTTGAAAATATGGCGGAAGGCAACAGGTAGAGTAAGAGGGGAGGAGAGGGTGCGAGCGAGGAGGCTGTGGGGGGAGGAGAACGTTCACTACTTGGTGCATATCATTGCTTGCAATCAGTGGCAGAAACAGAAAACTTGAGGCGTTAGATGGGGGACAATCAGTAGAAATCACACAGGGTATGTACATCGTCAAGCAGGGAGCAAGGCAACGTTGCGATGTTTGATGGATTCGGACGTTTTTCACTTTCGGGAAGCGTTGCTGATTGTACTGACCATCTCTCTGACAGCTCGATGGATTCATCCTATGAGGCTCTGGAAGACGAAGACGAGTGGAGAAGGCAAGAGGAGAAGATCAGGGACTCCCTGCGGAGGAGGCGCCAGAGGATCGAGAGGATTGAGCAGGAGCTGAACCACGTCCAAAGCCTCTCACCAGCAGAGGTCAAGGAGTATGCCTCTGTGGCAAGATATGGAGTGGATGGCATACGAGCAGCAGCCGAAACCATCCAAGGTGCATGGAGGACTGTGCGGAGGCAGACGGAAAAGCGCTCTGGAACTCTGCAGAGAAAGCACATGGCGGCGAGAAGGATACAGTTGTTCATGAAGCACGTTTCGAATCTCAACCAGAAGAGGTGGATATCCAGGATCTGTGGCCTGATACTGACAAAGATTGGCTTCAGGACTGACTTCATCTCTCTTGAAAGTGTCATGATCGAACCGGAAGTGGTGCCCGGTACTGAATCTGGGGAATGCCTCTGTCCTGATATCCTTGCAAGAGTCTCGGCGTGGTCAGTTGGACCTGTGGGAGCTTCCTGATGAAGATCGGGTGAGAAATCTGCAGAACAAGATCAACTCCGAGTTGGAGGCAGCTCGTACCCGCAGGGAACGGTTGACACAGACAAATCTTACTAGCCTTGTCTTGACCCTTGTCTTTTCCATCAGTTCAAGGACTGAGGAGGAGTTGAAGGATCTGGAAAAGATGGCGAAAGCAAGGATCAAGGAGTATGACAGCTCTGGGAAGGTGTCAAGGTGAGTTCAAACACTATCTATGTCTGTGCTCCTCTTACGGACGGTTCAAGGACGGAGACCAAGGATCGCAACAAGTTACGAGAATACATCTCGAGCACGCTAGCTTCAATGTGGAGCATCAGAAGTATTGATGACATCTCAGAATCCAGGGAAATGAGGGCATTCGAACGGTTAGTCTTGGATTGTGAACTTCCTTTTTCCCTTCTGGGTTTATTTGCTTTGTTGTTCCTTTCCTTCTTTTTCAATTTGATTGCTATCTTTACATAATGTTCGCAGAGGATTGCTGTATGGAAGTGAATCAGACAAAGATTACAAAGAGCTTATCATGAAGGTAGCCATGGAGGAACACCAAGAAGCCATGCAAGCTGTTCAGAAGCGTGAGATAGGAATGTACTAAATTTTAGATGTGGTGTACTGTGCCAGGATGAAGATGTTCGAATCAATGCTTTTGCAGTTCAATGTTTATTTACTGGAAATGATAGGAACTTGTTAAAGGATGTGAAAGAATGCGGATCGTTCAGGGAAAGTAAGCCAAGAACTTCTCAAAGTCAGCGAGAGACTGCTTGAACCATTTGTCGGATGCTGCGACACGCTTGGGGCTTCGCTCGACTCCTTCCTTCAATCGGAGAGCAGTCTCAAGCTCAACCAAGTCCTGCAAGTGAGGATAAGTTGAGGCAAATCACAAAGTTTCCCTGTACTGACCTGGATGATGTTGCGGGAAAGACGGTCAGTCTTGATCTGTGTGTCCTCGTCGAAGGCGGCGAGGCCAAGCTTGTTGAGATCGTCACGGAGCTTGACGATGTTGAACGCCTTGACTTGCTCACTGAGCTGAGCATTCTTGTCGCTCTTGAACTGCTTAGAGAGCTCAAAGAGCTTGTCACGGTTGCTGCGAAGGTCCTTGAGGTTCGCCTGGATCTCAGGGGTGGAGATGGCCTGGGCGTTGACCTCAACCTTGCCAGCATCACGAGACGCGTCATTCTTATCGTATCCGGGATTTCTAGTCACTGCAAAGAGCACGCCGAGGAGACCGACAGAGATGGCTCCTCCGAAGGCATAGGCTTCTCTCCTGGTCAGCCCTCCAAAGCCTTCACCTCCTGCCATGGCGGCATTGTAAACCTTAGGGGTAGGAGTGTTGGCAGATTCGACGAAGCCCTGACGCTCAAACAGGGTTGGCTCGTTCTTGTAATCAGGAGGAAGAGGTTTGTCGGGGGTAGGAATGAGGGGCTTGTACTCGACATCGTCGTTGTTCTGCATGCGGAGAGAGAGCGGCCTGTGGCAAACTGGCGCCTTGTTAACCCTGGCGATGCCAGCAAGAGGGGCGGGGCTGAAGGCATAAGCCGATCCGATGCACGCTACTGCAAACAAAGCTTTCCTCATTTTGACCTGAACCACATCGTCAACATCAAGGATTTTCAACAATGAATGATTCAAGAAGTCAGCAGAGCAGGAGACTCTCGATATATGAAGTCTAATGCATCCTCTATCCAACTACAAAAGTCCTGGAGAATCTGTTCACAGCCATTGGTGGGTCGAAGTTTGGATATGTAGCGTCTGCTTTTCGGTTGGCAAAAAGAAAACAGAGAATGCTTGACTGCAAGACTCTTCTAAATTGATACAAAACCAGAATCACCCGAAAATTGAACCAGATGACTTTGAATGCTAAGATATTCCTTGATATAAAGAACAACTATAACTCAAGCTATTTGAGCACCAACCGGGCCAGAAAAGCCAGCCAAGGCCATTTCCTTCCTTGTACAACTCGGCCATTTCCAAAAACAAGTTAGGAGAGATTCTCTAGGCTAGTCTGGACAGTGTTTTCAATAGCAGCGTCCCCGTCTCAGGGTTAGCAAGTCCAATCCAACCGTCCTTACTAGCTGACATCCCTTCCCTAGCAAATACGCATCTTCAATGTAAGCTCTCAAGACCCTCTTCTTCTTGTCTGCGATTATGTAATATCATCGACGTGTGCAGTCTTGTGATAGGCCTGTTGCTATCATCCGCCTGTCTTGCCTCTCATCGTCTCCTATGGCGACCTTCCACGTTTCATTGCGCCGTCTCTAGCATCGCTCACTCTCCGCGTCTTAGATCCTCCACCCCTTATATCCCCACCCCTCCCCCCCTTTTGTGCCGCCTACCCGTTCAATGGACAAGATCATGAACCCCTACCCCCAATGGTTTATAAGTACCCGTACACTTAATAGTGCACTACCCTAGTGCTTTACTTCCTCAAAGAAACAATTACTGCCACCTACCCACTCGAAATCCAGCACCCTACCTCCTGCACTACCATAACGTTGGAATGGAACAACCCACCTTCGGCCACACTACACCCTCCAAAGATCTGGAAGTACCCACCCTTTTTACCGGCCTCCTTTTGCTTTTTGAGATACCCCTGCTTATTACCATGAAAGAACCCCACTCTGATAGGTCCATTGAGGATCCCTGGACCCCCACCCACATTTCGACTTAAGTCTGTCAGCGGACTACCCTACCCAATCTCTGCGAGACAATTACCCCATGCAATTATGTCATTTGATGTTATAAATGGTAGGGTACCTGCAGGGAAAGAGCAATGGGTTTGGTTAGGGTTGGGTGGAAATGGAAGGGTGGCGGGTAATTCTTTTGGTACCAAAGCTGGGAGGAAGGGGGAGGATGCTGGTATAAAGAAGGGGTGATGACAAAAAAGGGGGTTAGAAAACCCAGAGGGGTGCATCTGGGGGTGACTAAGGTGGTAGGGTGGTGTCCGCTGACCTACATGACAGGGGTGGAATTACTCACGGGGGTGCTTTGATGGGGTGGTTGGGGGATCGTAATGAAATTAAAACTCTAAAAGTGCCTCGACACTGACACTGGTGACGGCGCGGCCCGGCCCGGCGCGCCGGGCGCTTCCGGACGGCCCGGGGGGGCGGCCTGCCGGCCGGGACTCCAGCCCGGGCCGGCCCGCCACCGCGAGTCAGAGTCCGGCGGCTCGGTCGGAGTGATTTCCGTCATCAATGCCATGATGTCAAATCATCAGTGATTGACCTCGGATCCGGCGGCTCCGATTCAACCGAGTCCGATTAACTCAGGCAGTGTCCGGTCGCTTGCAAGTTGATTCAGTGAACTTGAAGCCTCGCCCGGCCTCTCAGTCTGGCGATGAGTTAATCAGAGTCAGGCTCGCCGATTAGCCAGTGCCGCGCGACTCAGTGTCAGGGTCAAGCCTCCTCGACTCTCCTGATTGTCCTCGTACTGATCTTTGACTTAACTTCCCCCGGGCCCCGGCCTTGTGCGCGCAGTCACCGCCGGTGCTGACTCCAGTCCCGGCGGCCCCGGCCGGGCGCCGGAAACTTCAAAGATGTAATAGCAATACCTGAGATGTATTAGCAATACTTGGAACCAGGTCCACCCGGTGTATTGCGAAGGATTGAGCAAGGAGAGGAGGAGAAGGGAGGAGGAGGCGAAGCTGATTGCAAAGCGGTTCAAGTGAATATATGCATGCTGGCATTGCTGTTATTGAGATGATGCACACTTGGAGGGCGGCGAGGACGAGCAGGTGACTCTCTGGTTTGCGAAAACATGTCGAGATTGATGAAGATCATGAGCGTGAGGAGGGCCTCCAACATCATTTCAGTTCGCTCGAAGCTTGCATGGCTAGCGTGCGATTGGAACAGGAAGGAGCTGAGGCTGTACCATGACGATGGCCGCCTGCTGAGCGCTGGAATGAAGACGATTCATGCAAGGCAGCGCTCAGACAAGTCTCTCCTCAAGGTTGAGATCATCGGTGCCAAGGAGCTGACATCCACAAAAGTATGGAACCAGTGCAACCCGCAGTGCATCCTTGCCATGGGCAAAACGGAGGCGTCGACAAGCGAGATATGGTCTGAAAGTGCTCCTGTGAGAACCTCTGCGATGGAGGGCAGGGTGTGAGCTGCTGGTGCTTGACACCTGCTAACAGTTGTGGGGCGAAGAGTTCTACTTCCAGATCAATCCGTCAGCGACGTTGGAGATACAGGTTTGTCAGTGCTCTGATCCCGATGAAGCCAGTCAAACTTCCCTGCTGCCAGGTGCTCTCCAAGCAGACTTTCTTCACAGAGTACCTAGGACGCGTCAGGATCCCCGTGAGCTCAATCTTCTCTGGATTGGAGAGAGCTGCGATGCTGGGCATGAAGAACTGGGAGGTCTACTTCGTCCTCCTCAGCAACGAGTGGTCCTCCGAACCCTACAAGCCCGGTAGCCACCTCCCATGGTTCGAGGACGGGGCTCCGAGCATGGACCGCAGGTGAAGAAGTGGAAGAAGCGGGAAGTCGACCTTACATTTGATGTCGTCACACAGCATGGAGCAGGAGGCGGAGGGGTCCTCTGCTGAGGATAGCCCCTTCGGAATGTACGGCTATCGCCACATGCCGCTACCTCGGTCTTAGCCCGCCATGTCATCCGAGCAGGAGTGACGGTCGCCCGCAGGATCCGAGGGAGGCTGTTTGTGACCTTCAGCCTCGTGGAACGTGGAGAGCCGGGTAGGATCGAGCAGTTTGAGTGCGCGAGGAAGGACGTGGCGGAGGACGCAGGAAAGGCTAAGGGCAAGACGAACAAGTCGGGAACGATAAGGGTGATCCCTCAGGTGATTGAGCGACCAGAAGAAGGAGAAAGGGCGGGGATGGAGTAGGAAAAAGGGAAGGGAATGAGTAGGGTGGGGGGGGGGGG